TGACTAGGAATGGGGATGAGGTGGGGAGAACTACTACAAGCCTCTAAAAAAGAATTTTATTTATGATATAGTAATACCTCACACCCAACAGTGATTCATTCAGAACAGAACTGAGCACCTAGGAAATGAAAGGCATTTAACTAAACAAGGTATTGGAAAGTTCATGCACTTAATTCACAGGAGAATTTATTCCTCAGTTTATTTACCCTTATTTTACAAAATCTTCTAAATATTTTGGTTCTCTGGCAGCCTGGTCCTCAGGAGATTAGATATCACCTATTAGAAGAGAATGTTCTCAGAGGCAGGCATATTAAGGTCAGAAAAAATGCCAATTAACAACCAGGGACAGGACAATCTGTATTGTAAAAAGCAGACACAGATACTCAAAATGTACAGCAGTTTGGAAGGACTCTTTGAAGGGCCAAACTATCCAATAATCTCCCAAAGGCAGGCCCACATTACTAGCTAGCATGGTAATATATCACAATTATGTCCAAGTTTTAAAGCAACAGTTGAATTATACGTATTTATTATATAATATATGATATATTATATGTATATAATATTTATTATAAACATGTAATATGTATGTATTATATGTATTCTATTACACTTGACGTGGCCAGGAATATTTACCACTTTAGAAAGATTTCTATACAAATGGTTAAGACAAAACAAAGCAATAAATGAAAACAGTTTAGTGCATAAAGAAGTAGCATTGCAAATGATGATAGAAATACTGTATTAGCATATTATCACACGTTGCTGAGAATGGCTAAAATGGACTGATTGTATAGGGAATCTAGAAAAAACCCACAGCTAACATCATTCTCAGTGGTGAAAGGCTGAATGCTTTCTGTCCAATATCAGGAACAAGACAAGGATGTCTGCTTTCACCATATCTACTTGACATTGTACTGGAAGTTCTGGCTGAGCAATTAGACAAGAAAAATAAATAAAAGGCATTCAGATTGGAAAGGAAGAACTAAAAAGTCCTATATGCTCAGATGACACACTCTTGTATATAGGAATCCACTAAAAAACTGTTAGAATTAGTAAGTAAGTTCAGCAAGGTGGCAAGGGATGAGATCAATATACAAAAAATTGTGCCCACTTTGTATGAATACTCTCTCTCTCACATGGACACTGGTAACTAAAATATCTGTTAAAGTATGTTAGGTGAGTATGCTCCCTGCATTATACCCTTCACAGCACTGTACCAAAAATCACCTTACTGGTTTATATGCTCATTGTCTGTCTCTCTCCATTGCAATTGAAGTCCCACAAGAGTAGGGACATCATCATCTGTCTTCTTCCCAGTATATTCCTGCTGCTTAGCAATGTGGCTGGCACATGGCAGATGCTCAAAAATTATTTGTTGACTTCTCAATTAACAGAGTATCCTTGGTATAAGCAACACTACTTCTTAAGCACCATTATTAAGTCTCACTGTTAGATACTGGAGACACAAGAATGAAACCTGCACTCCAGGAACAGGAGCACTAGACGAACAAATAACATAATGTGATAAAGGATAATGTCAGCATTCTTGCTTTAATTACATTGAATTTTTTCTGTTCTTAAGCTTATGAATTTACCTCTCAGCTCCCTTCTGCCTGGACACATCCCACACTTTATGCAGTTCAGACTAAGGTAAGCGTGCATGTACCATATTGTATTTAATATGGTGAAATTGCTAAGGTACTTAAATATTAGGGAAGCTATGTCTTACTTATTGGTCAAAATATATATTATCATAGGGATTGCAACTCTAGGTGCTCTGGTTTAGAAAAACCCAAATTCAATACTATGCCCCATCTCCCTCAATATATAATTTCATTGGACCGTTAGTCACAGAGTACTCATAAAGCCTGGGATGGTGATGAGGATTCGGAGCTCTTAATCCATTGAGGGAGGTAGGTACGTAAAGAGAGAAATACAACTTAGTGCAGAAGGTACTGGATAGAGCTCTATGCAGGGTATTATGTTCCAAAAATGACTAAAGAAATAAAAGGCACTTTGTGTGAGGGACAGCCCTACCCCAGCTTGATACTCAAATGATGGCCCTGTTTTTTTTAACATGGGCACTACTGCGTAAACCATACCTCAGGGAAAGATTCGGGTACTCAGAGACTTGAAAGAGTTAAATTTTCAGCAGATATGTCAATCAAGTAGTAAAAAAAAAAAAAAAAAAATCCGCCCTTTCCTCCATTGCCTGCATGCATACTGAACCTACCCTTCCATTTTTGGAAAGAAGAGAAACAGTACTGGAAGGCTTTTGAACTTATTTTCTAAGTAGCTTATTTTACTAAACAATCAAAACCATCAAGTAGCTAAAACATATCCATTTTCAACCTTGAGTCCTTTGGCATATTATACCCCTCAAGTCCTCCCTGGAGAATAACAGGCTCACTTCTTCCAGGAAGACAGCATGGTGCTGTGGGAAACGGTGGGATTTGGAGTCAGAAGACCTCTTTCTGTTCACATCCTACTCTGTCACTGGTTGTATATCTGTGAGTCATTTAACCATTCTGAACCTGTCTCCACCCTTAGAAAATAGAGAGATCATCTGCCTAATTCATCTCAGACGTATGAAGTGAGTACCAAGTAAGACAATCGGTGCCAGATTGTTTTTACAAACTACAAAGCAATATATAAGGACGATGATCATATCTGTAGGCCAGTGCTTAGCAGGTGCCTGGTACGAATGTACTCCGTAAATGTTTGTGAAATAAATTAATATCACAGATCAATGAGAGCTCTAGTTGGTTATACCTGAGAAAGCGGTGGATGCTACTGGCCAAAAACTGTCCTTTGTTTCCTTGACTTTGATTTCTATTGATATTGAGAGCTACTGGTTTTATTATCTGGCCAAGAGAAGACTATAAATTATGGATGACAAATTAAAAGGGTAGGCTTATGCTTGGGGGAAGGAAAAAGTAAAAGAATATAATTCCAGCAAAATACCTCCTACTCCATCCCTTGCTTTTATAGATAAAAAAAAGGTGTTTCTAGGTAGAGCTCCATCAAGTTCAAGCCACAGTTCCTATTTAGATTGCTAAGTGGGTCTAAGAATGTTCTTTTTTTTTGGTTTAATTGAGACCAAATTTCACTAAGCATCTCTGACAGCAGTGATTTACAATGAGGATGATATAGGAGGTTGACTGCAAGGCCCTCTGGTGGCCTGAAGATTTTTCCGTGTCTGCAATTGCAAAATGAAAAGAAAGCCCAGCCATTTTCTATCAAATAGGAGCTTATTTATAAATTAAAAAGTCAACAAAGCAGATGGAGCTAGAGTGTATTATGCTAAGTGAAATAAGTCAGTCAGAGAAAGACAAATACCATATGATTTCACTCATATTGGGAATTTAAGAAACAAAACAGATGAACATGGGGGAGAGAAAAGGGAGGCAAACCATAAAACAGATTCTTTTTTTTTTTAAGATTTTATTTATTTATTTATTTGTCAGAGAGAGAGAGAGAACAAGGAGGGGGAGCCGCAGGCAGAGGAAGAAGCAGGCTCCCTGCTGAGCAGGAGCCCGATGCAGGACTTGATCCCAGGACTCTGGGATCATAACCTGAGCTGAAGGTAGATGCTTAACTGACTGAGCCATGCAGGCACCCAAACGGACTCTTAACTATAGAGAACACACTGAGGGTTGATGGAGGGAGACGGGTGGGGGATGGGCTAAATGTGTGATGTGGATAAAGGAGGGCACTTGTTAAGACGAGCACCGGGTGATGTTATGTAAGTAATGAACCACTAAATTCTACTCCTGAAACCAATATTACCCTATATATTAACTAACTAGCATTTAAATAAAAACTAGAAACATTAAGTCAACACAGATAACTTGGAAAAGTCGTCCTTGATTTTTTTTAAATTTCAAAAGCTTCATAATCATAAACATTTCTATAGAGACCCCAGCCCAATGTAACCCCATGTTTTTTTTTTTTTTTAAAGATTTTATTTATTTATTTGACAGAGACAGACACAGCGAGAGAGGGAACACAAGCAGGGGGAGTGGGAGAGGGAGAAGCAGGCTTCCCGCCGAGCAGGGAGCCTGATGTGGGACTTGATCCCAGGACTCTGGGATCATAACCTGAGCCGAAGGTAGACGCTTAACCGACTGAACCACCCAGGCTCCCCATGTAACCCCATGTTTATGGCAATTCACAAAATGATGAACAGCAAGTCCCTGCCCTCTGGAATTTGCCATCTAACAAAGGCACAGGGACTAGGATGCAGACGTAGAAACAAAGGTCGAAGGGGAGAACTATAGAAAGTACTTGGGCTTGGCACACCTGGGTGGCTCAACTGGTTAAGCATCTGCCTTCAGCTCAGGTCATGATCCCAGGGTCCTGGGATTGAGCCCCATGTCAGGCTCCCTGCTCAGTGGGGAGTCTGCTTCTCCCTCTCCCTCCGCCCCTCTCCCTACTTATGCTCTGTCTCTCCCTCTCTCACAAATAAATAAATAAAATAAAATAAAAATAAAGTACATGGGCTTTGGAATCTTTGTGGGATTAAATAAGATAATATATGCAAAGCATCTACTATGGCATCTGGTGTATAGTAGATGCTCAATAAATGGTAGCTTTTATTATTGTACTTTAGTATGTGATATTTAAGTGATCTCAGCCACCTGCTGGAAGAAATCTAATTTTCAGCTCTAAACTCCTCTAGAACTTTTGATACACCTCATTTAATTCTGTATTTCAGAAGAATTAAAAGGAAAAGCATCTAAAGCCCACCCCCGTGGCATATAGCACTTCTTCCCTGTCATACTCCAAATGGAATTTCTCCTGCAGCTTGGCAAAGTAGAGGTGAAGGGAGAAATAAAGTGTTTACCTAGTCCAAAGTGACAATGAACATAAAGGGATAGGTGAAGTTTTAATTTAATAACATAATGTCACAGTAGGCATAACTTTTGACCCAATAACCGGATTCCTGAACATTTTTCTTAACAAAATAATCAGAAAAGGGCAAAAAGATGCATATATTAAGAATCTTATCACATTATTTATAATAGCAAAAAATTGGAAACAATCTAAAAGTCCATCAATAGGAGACTAACTAAATAAGGATACAACCACACAGTACAATTCTATGAAGAACTAAAATTACGATGCAGATATTTGACATTAAATTACATTTGAGATGAAATTTTACAAAATTAGGCAGTTTGATTTTATTTTTTTATTTTTATTTTTTTTAAAGATTTTATTTATATATTTGACAGAGAGACAGAGTGAGAGCAGGATCACAAGCAGAGGGAGAGGGAGAGGGAGAAACAGGCTTCCCGCAAAGCAGGGAGCCCGATGTGGGGCTCAATCCCAGGACTCTGGGATCATGACCTGAGCCGAAGGCAGATGCTTAACGACTGAGCCCCAGTTTGATTTTATTTAAAAAACCCCCTACCTACAATATACCTATGATTTCATTAAAAAAAGCCAAAACCTATCTAGGGACACCTGAGCGGCTCAGTCGGTTAAGCATCTGACTCTTGATTTCAGCTTGGGTTGTGATCTTGGGGTTGTAGGATTGAGCCCCAAATGGGCTCTGTGCTCAGCATGGAGTCTGCTTGTCCCTCTCCCTCTGTTCCTCCCCCTACTCATGTGTGCTCTTTCTCTCAAATAAATAAAATCTTAAAAAAAAACCCCTATTTAAACGTATCTGTGTGTACATATATATACATGTACATATTTAAACAAGTCTGAAAATAGATATACTAAAATTTTAGCAGTGATTTCTAGACATTGGGAATATAGGTATGTATACACACATATATAGGAATATAACTTTATTCTCTTCATTCTTTTCTATATTTTCTGAAATTTTTATGATGACTATGTATTATTTTTATAAGAAAAAACAAAAGCTAAATGAAAAAATTTAAACCAAAATAGAAAATAGCTATCTCCAAGCAGTACAAGCTAGTGAAAGATCGCTGGATAGAATATCAGGAGGTCTGAATTCCTATTTCTGACATCCAATCCTTTGCTATGTGACCTAAGCCAGATCCGTGTCTCAATTTCCCCATCTATACAGTAAATAAGTAATTTAAATAAATCTCACAATAGAGAATAAAATGAGAATGAATGTGTTAGGAAAAAAATCTGTAAATGTCACACCTACTTGCAAATTAAAAAACAAAAGACTTCCTCAATTTTTAAATTCCCCTTAAGTCTTCACTGCTTTTATATATATATATATTTTTTTTTTTTTTTAGTAATCTCTACACCCAACATGGGACTAGAACTCATAATCCCAAGATCAAGAGTCGCTTGCTCCACCAACTAAGCCAGCCAGGAGCCCTACTTTTAAAATTTTTAACACACTAACAAATACATGAGAAAGTATTCAGGATCTTAGCCTCAACTAGGCTCCAAACTGTTTACCAAGTAAACATTTCCATATTGATCAAGATAAGGTGTAAGTCTATATGGTAACAGCAGTTCTCAGTAAGCCTGAACCGCTCCTGCTGGCCTATCTTCACAGAGGTGGAACTAAATGATACGTGTTATGTCTAATTTTCAAAATATGTGTAAAATTAGATTTTAAATTCATAGAGTATAGGACTGTATCTTCCTTCTTTAGATCCAAGTGTAACTGTAGTCAAAACTGTCAAAAATTGAGGGTCATGAACACTTCTTTTCCCTTGTTGCAGGCTCTCAGTGACCTGAAGATGCTCCACCCCTTCCCAATTCCAATATGTGTTCAACTCCAAGATCTAGGTTGAGAAGTGTCTGGATCTAATTCAATGTACAAGGTACAAAGCATCATCCTGTTTCTACTTTGCAAATGCTATTTATTTCTTCTGTCAAGAAGGTCCTTTACCTACTTCTTGGTATGTTGCTAATTCATAGGTTGCCTTCTGATCACATAGATGAAGACAGTCAGCCCCAGCCTCCCCACGCTCCCGAAGCAACTGTGAACACTTATATTTCTCATCAGAACTCATCAGTGGTAAAATTCCAAGTTGTTTGGGCGCCTGGGTGGCTCAGTTGGTTAAGCGACTGCCTTCGGCTCAGGTCATGATCCTGGAGTCCCTGGATCGAGTCCCACATCGGGCTCCCTCCTCGGCAGGGAGTCTGCTTCTCCCTCTGACCCTCCCCCCTCTCATGTGCTCTCTCTCATTCTCTCTCTCTCAAATAAATAAAAAATCTTTAAAAAAAAAAAATTCCAAGTTGTTTTTTGTCTGTCTCCCATATTGCACAATGAGCTATATGAAGACAGAGACTGGATTATCCCAGCAATTGGCATAGTGCTTGGATATGATAGGTAATATTTCTTGAATAAATGGATAAAATGTTATTCCTAGAATAGGAATCTGCAATTTAATAAAAGTTCCTCCATAGGGAATCACCTACTTGGCTGGCCATCTACTCTGCTAATGGGTTCTATAGAAACTAAAGCAAAACAAGAATAAAGCACACATGAAAGAATTTGGTGTACCACAAGGTAGATAATTTTGATGACTCCAATTAAAGCAAAGAAATAATGAAGGATAAAGGAGTCAATTGACTAGCAAAATAAAGTATACTCAATAAAGTGTGAACTGGGGTGCCTGGGTGGCTCAGTCATCAAGCGTCTGCCTTCGGCTCAGGTCATGATCCCAGGGTCCTGGGCTCGCCAGGAAGCCTGCTTCTCCCTCTCCCACTCCCCCTGCTTGTGTTCGCTCTCTCACTGTGTCTCTGTCTGTCAAATAAAAAATCTTAAAAAAAAAAGTGTGAACTAATTAAGGAAATCTGAAAAACTGAAAATCAACAACCAAGAAAACACCAGAGTGCAAGAATTCTAAAAACATGTACAATCTTTTATTTTTTTAAAAATAAAAAACTTATATCTAGGGAAAGACAGAGATACAGATGGACTACTGTAATTCAAAATCCAAGACATGTCTTCCCCTAGATATAAGTTCTTTCAGGACAGGAAATGATCTTTCAAGTAGTAGAGTGTCTCTAGGTTCAGTAGGGAGCTCCTACTCCCATTTCCATCTTCTAATTTCCTTTTCACTTTCTTTTTTTTTTTTTAAGATTTATTTGAGAGAGAGAGAGAGAGCGAGAGCACAAGCAGGGGGAGCAGCAGAGAGAGAGGGAGAAGCAGAGTCCCCACTGAGCAGGGAGCCTGATGTAGGGCTTGATCCCAGGACTCCTGGGTCATGACCTGAGCTGAAGGCAGACACTTAACTGACTGAGCCACCCAGGGGCCCCTCAGTTTCTGTCTTTAAATAGTAACTTTCTTTCCTTCTCTTGCCCAGTCCGTGGAAAATTTTTTTTCTTGTCCATTATGTCCCACTGAACATGCTTTTTTTAGGGGCTACCAGTATAACCCAAGGCCCTTTCACTCCAATGGTGGTAAAAACCCTGCAAGTCACAGTTGTATTTACTGCATATGTAAATATCCTGTAACTGAGCCTTTGTATATATTTGGTATCCTGCTGACATTTAACATTGCCAGGTAAGTAATTCAGCTGCCCAGAGGAAGGGCTCTCCTTAGATGTGTGGTATTGGGCTCCACAAAGGCACTCTTCCTAGTTTTTCCAGAGAGTCAAGATGAATACTATCTCAGCCAGTGACTTTCTGCTGTTGAACCAGTTTGTATTTTACTGATTAACAGATCAATATTTGGGGGGCTTAATTTGAATATTGAACAAAACATGAAATTACTGGTTTTGACTTCTCTTTTGAGGAGATACATCGATAAGGCTCCCAGAAAAGAAATGGCCAAAATTCAAACCAATGGAAAGAGGAAAGATTGCCCCAAAGTAAAACCTAGCTGATTTTCTTGGTTCAAACAGCATTTATCTGATGGATATTTTGGTGACAGATGTTAACTAGACTTATTGTGGTGGTTGTTTTGCAATATAAACATATATCGAATCATTATATTGTATACCTAAAACTAATATAATGTTATATATCTCTCAATATAAAAAACCAGCATTAAGCATATATATATATTTCATGTACTGTGCCAGACGCACATATATATCTCTCCATCTGTCCAATAGAAAGGATTACCTTGCAAGTCTGTTCTGAGGATTAAAGAAGATATATATATCTCTATATAGATATCTGTACATGTATTACAGCCTTGTGAGGGAATCATTTCCATCGGACAGATGAAGACACAGATTCAGAAAGGTGAGCACGCAACTTGTCTGTGGCCAGGATGCTATTAAGCAACAGAATGAAAATCCGAAGCCAGGTCTGGCTCAAAACCCAGAGTGATTTCCACTCACTGGTGTGATCTATTCAAACAGCCGGCCCCCTCGACAGTAATAATCACATAATGATAAAAGTCATTGCTAACATTTATCTAGCTCTTCTCACGTGGCAAGCACTGTGCTAAGCAATTTATATATATGATCTCTTTAATCCTCACAATCACAGGTAGGTTTATCAAGACCTCCATTTCACAGTTGAGGAAACTGAGTTTTATACAAGTTCAGTAATCACTTGGTTCTCACAGCTGGTAAGGAGTGGGGCCAGAGTTGAACCTAGGTCTAATTCCAGAATCCATTCTTTTCATCCTTACACTTGACTGCAGGAAACTCAACTCTTGTCCTGATTCCAATGAGGCAAGTCAATTGATAGTTCTGTCTCGATTTCCTTGTTCCTTAAATGGGACACTGTTCCTTGTCCTTCCCAGAGATATGGGGGTTGTAAGATAAGAAAGTGCTGAAGCTTTAAGAAAAACTGCTATATAAATCTAGGCACAGTCAAAAGTTTCACTCAGATTTTCCCTCTCTGGCGATCATAAAGGGATTTAGTTGACATCATTAGCTCTTAAACATCCTCTCAAGTGGGTAGTGAGTATTATCTTCACTCATCAGAAAGCTGAAGCATAAGGAGATGACGTAATGTGCTAGTCAGTCGGTGGTTGAGCTGGGAATAAAACCCCAGATTCTAGCTCCCACTGCTTATGTTCTTACTGTCAATCCTGTTTCTGCATTTCAAACTTAATTGTAAAATAGAGGAGGGTAGAAATATCAGTGTCCACTTCAAAACACAGATTAAATACTTACAGAAATTAAATTTTCTACTGCAGTGACACTAATATAACCCCAAGGCTCTTATCCTCACATTCTAGAGAAACTGCATGAGGAATCAAAAATAAAAATTTCCATTTCTGCAGTATACACTTCGGCTCCTTAGTCTTCTCAAATAACTTATTATTAATCAAAGGTTTTACAAAACTGGGTGAGTCATTACCTAGTTTCAACTAGTGAGTCTGTAAGCTTCCTTTCATAGGGAGCATAAAACCTCAGTATTAAGTTGTTCGCTCATAAAATCAGAAAAAAGAAGCATCAAATAGATTTTCACATCATAAACACTTCATTTAACTATATAATTTGACTTGGAAATTATTCTAACATACCAACCTGAGCTCAAAATTCAGTTTCCAAAGTGCACTGCATAATTAAAACAACAAAATCACACACATTACACTTTTATGATCATTCTTCTCCTGCATAAAAATCAAAGTAAGTTTTGTGCTTCCCACCCAAGCCTTACCACAGACACACACAAACCTTAAAGTAAAATAGAAGGTAGTAATGAGGCCAATTCTCTGTCTTCAATAGGGGATGAGTGTTCAGTCTAGTTCCCAGATTATGAGCCCCTCCTAAATCTTGCTTTCTAGAACAACACAACCGTCTTCCAATTATCAGGAGCTTGATAATCACCTATTTTTAAATTACCACAGGGACCAGAGAGGAAATAAGAGAAATAAATTTCCACTTTCAAAATTGAACTAAATACTGGAGTCCATAGATACTTCATTGTTCCTCTCTCTGACTCCAACTGAATTAGACTTATAAATGAAAAGCCTGTCATTTTGTTATAGGGACAAAAACTAAGTCACAGGAACCCAAAGGGCTATTCTCAAATGTCCTCTCGGAGTTTGCTTCTCGGGTGGCTTGAGAGGCCTAAATTCACCCCTAGCTGCATAATAAAAGTCCAACCACCTTCAAACGTGCTATGAGGCGAAAGTAAAGGATGATGTGGGGCACTCAGGGGTTTTTTATTTAATCCATTAGTCCAACTTTCCTTTGAGAAAAATCTTTGTCTTGGTTTCTATAATTGAAACCAATCATAGCTTCTGTTGAGTCAGGGGCTCTAAGGTCTCTCAGACTTTAATGTGAGTATGAATCACCCGGGGATCTTGTTAAATTTCAGACTATGATTCAGAAGGTCTGGGACCGCGTGCCCAACAAGCTCCCAGGTGATGTCAATGCTGCTGACTGATGCATACACTTTGAATAGTAGGACTATAAGAAATGTTTCCAAATAGAAATAACCTCAATCAGATGTTTATACTCAAAAGAGATAGCCTCCACCAGGACTTTGTAAAGGGAGAGAATATTCCAGAGCCTAAACAGGGTACCTGCTCCTTGTCCCTTTTCTAGGATTTTTTTTTTTTAAGATTTTATTTATTTATTTGAGAGAGAGACAATGAGAGACAGCGTGAGAGGGAGGAGGGTCAGAGGGAGAAGCAGACTCCCTGCCGAGCAGGGAGCCCGATGCGGGACTCGATCCTGGGACTCCAGGATCTTGACCTGAGCCGAAGGCAGTCGCTTAACCAACTGAGCCACCCAGGCGCCCGCTTTTCTATGATTTTTACGAGCTAGTTGTAAACCCAATGTGGTACCTGAATAAAGGCATCTTTTTAAAATGTCTTCTGTGTTGACAGTTTATTGGGACTCAACTTGATGGGGCTTGTATGGATGAACATAAAAACTTCAAGCCTTTTGTAATGAAAGGGCTGATTCAAAATAAATATTTTTAATTATGTCAAATACTAATGAATAAGTGATGTTCACAAATAGTTTATAAGAGAATCATTTGGGATTAATCATTTTCATTTCTCCCACAAAATAAATAGCTCATGTACTAAAGGAGACACCTTTCCTTAAGCAGGAGGAAAGAAGTTCAAGTCATGCCTGTGGAACAATCATAATATTTTTAGTGAGGAAAATACCAAGATTAAAACATACAAAAGTATACGAGGAGAATTATATGGTATTAAATGTGTCCCCAGAATCAGAGGAAAAGAACAGCTGGTAAATTTAAGGAAGATTTTAACTGGAAAAGATTACACATGTGAGCAATAGTCCATTCACCTTAAGAAAAACAATAAACACCCACAAACTTCCATCTTCAGGTTTTCAATAATGGTTTTTTTTTGTACGACCATTAGACTAACCTCCCCCACAAAATTCACAACCAACCATCATAAAAATTAAGTTGTGGACAGGTCTAGCTGGCTATATTCCATGTTTACCCTTAGACGCTTTTCCAGCTAATGAGGGTAAAATTCATGGTGCACACAGCAAGAATAAAAAGAGAATCACTTCCCTTCACATAGAAGGAACCCCCCATCTTGAGCATCTTTCTGCACTTTGCAGTGTGAGGTGTCTCAGTGCTTGCGGGCACTCTTCAGCCCCATAACTGTGAAGGTAGCAGCCGTCAGTTTCTCATAAACCAGGAACATGAGCGCAGCAGTGAGGACTGTCTGTAGCAGTTTGGCTTCAAGGCCTTTGTAGAGTCCCATGATTCCAAAACGCCTAAAAGAAAAGAGGTTTGAAAAAAAAATAAAAGGTTTTCTTCATAAAAGTCAGCTCCTGGATCAAAGAAGCAGGCTATCATAGCTACCACTTATCCCCGAGGGAAGATGTTCCAAGACCCTCCGTGGATGCCTGAAACTGAGGTTAGTACTGAACCCCCTATTTTTTTCCTATACACACACACCTATCATAAAGTCTAACTTACAAATTAGGCACAGTAAGAGATTAACAACAATAGCTAATAATAAAATAGAATAACAATATACTGTAATAAAAGTTACAGGAATGTGGTCTCTCCCTCTCTCTCTTATATCTATGTATTGAGATGCAGTGAGGTGAATGATGCAGATATTGTGACTTGGCGTTAGGTCCTATTGACCTTCTGACGGTAAGTGAGAAGGAGGATCATCTGCTTCCAGACCGTGGTTGACTGTGGATCCCTGAAACCATGGGAAGGGACACTGTGGATGAGGGGGGAATACCGTATTTGCATTTTCTAAATTTTATATAAGTGGAATCATATGGTATGAATTCTTTTTTGTCTGACTTCTTTCACATGGCATAATTATTTTGAAATCCACCCATGTGGTTGTATGTATTAGTAAGTCCTTTCTAATGAGCAGTATTCCACTGTGTAGATAGATAGTAACCTGTGTGTCTACTCACTCAATGATGGGACATTTGTGTTGTTTCCGGTTTTTGACTCTTACAAATAAAACTGCTATTAATATCTGCGTACAAGTTTTTGCACAGACATATTTCATTTCTCTTGAGTACATAACTTGAGAGGAAACGTGAGGTCCTATGATAGTTGTATGTTTAACTTTTAAAGAAAATACCAAACTTTCCAAAATGGTAGGACCACTTTATTTTCCCACCAGCAGCACAGGAAAGTTCTGGTTGCTCCACATTCTTGCCAATACTTGGTATGGTGAGCATCTAGTTTTAACTTTATACCAGTTCTTTATCTTTGATTTTTTTTATCCCAAGCATATTGTTTTTATAGTAAATTTATTTACTTTCAAAATATCTTATATCTAGGAACAGTTATAAAATTATGGCAGCGTTTGCTTCAAAGGAGGCCCCTGACTGATTTGAGGCTGCTGAGATTCTCTAAATGGAATGATACAGGGAAACGATAAAAGGACCTGCTTCTTAGGGCCACTGTCAGGATTAAGCGAGGTTACCCGTTTGAGGTACGGAGCTCAGTGTCTAGCACAAAGCACTCATCAGCACTGCTGTCATCATTACAATAATTATTGTTACTCTTCCTACTGCCCCCTCCCTTTCTCACTATGACTACTGCGCTCCAACAGCTGTTTATTTCTATCTCTGAGAGAGGTCGCAGGCGAAGCCACTGACGGCAGCACTGCTAAAGGCAGAACAGTCTCTACATTAGGTGATAGCAGGCTTCCCTCTCTAAAGGAGTTCTGGATATTTCTAAGTCACAAAGAATGAAGACCTGGAGTTTTTCCGTAACTTCCCCAAATGCTGCCATATTGCACTAAGGCCCTAAAATGAGAAATGTCTGAGCACAGTGTGCAAGGAGCGGTTTCGAGGCTGCTGCTGCCAAGGCAGTAGTACAAGTTAAGCAGATCCAGCCACTCTGGCAGAGATGGCTGCTGAAAGACAGGACAGAATGTGAGGCATCTACAGAGCTCACTTTACTCGTTGGTGAAGAAGATAGAGAACATTCCGAAGACTCCCCAGTGTTCTGTTTTCTGGGTTTAGTCTATGACGTCCAAACTGGGGAAGAAGAAAAACAGATCAATTTCTACCTGCGGAGGAAATTATGTTGGAGTAATGTCTTATAGTATACAGTAATAAAAATATCCGAGTATGCAGATTTCATGAATTTTCTCTTTTTCACTGAAATAAATGAAAATAAGAAATATTTTTCGGGGCGCCTGGGTGGCTCAGTTGGTTGGGTGTTCGACTCTTGGTTTCAGTTCAGGTCATGGGATCGAGCCCCACGTCAGGCTCTGTGCTCAGCGTAGAGTTCTGCTTCAGAGTCTCTCTCCCTATCTCTCCCCCTCTGCCATTCTCTCTGCTCTCTCTTCTCAAATAAATAAATAAAATAAATAAATAAATATTTTTCAACGAAGCATGAATTTTTACTTCAGAGAATTATGGGGAAAATACTCCCTCAACAGAAAACAAACATGCCCACAATGAAGATTTAGATATTGATGGTATGGCTTACCCTCTAGTCCTTTAGAAAGTTCTTATAAACTAATCAGTTAGAACCACTACAATCTAAGCTCTTCACATTATATGTTTACATTATAAAAGTATCAAAATACACTTATTTAGATGCTGAATTCCCTTATATTAAGTACCAATTTAAAAATAGCACATCAGTAGAAACACTTTTAACAGAAGGTAATACATTTTTTGAACTGAAATATTTTTGGGACGCCTGGGTGGTTCAGCGGGTTAAGTGTCTGCATTCAGCTCAGGTCATGATCCAGGGCCCGGGGATCGAGCCCCACCACGTTGGGCTCCCTGCTCAGCGGAGAGCCTGCTTCTCCCTCTGCCTGCCACTCCCCCTGCTTGTGCTCGCTCACTCTCTGACAAATAAATAAATAAAATCTTAAAAAAAATTTTCTTTTCACCATCACCGCCATTTTATCTATCAATAAATACTTTGAATTTTTTCTGCAAAGTAGATCATGAATCTGTCCATGTCTTATCTCTCCTCTCCATTGCTACCACCTTAGTGTAGGGCACCATCACCTCTCACCTGTACTATGGAAATGGCCTCCTACCTGATTGCCCTCCCACCCTTATCTCTTAACCCTAGGACCAATTCGCCACACAACAGCCACAGGAATCTTCTCGAATTGTAAATCAGATCACATTGCTCCCAGTTTAAAGCCCTTCAAAGGCTTCCCACTCAAGTGAGAATAAAATCTAGAATCCTCATCTATAGCCTTCCTTGCTACTTTTCCAATCTCATCTTGAGCCACTCTCCAGCCAGAGTGGCCTCTGTTCAGTTCTCAGTCATCACCAAGCTCTTAGCACATCATGTTCCCTCTACCTAGAATGCTCTTTGACAGTTGGGTCCTTATCTTCCTTTAAGTCTTGATATTTATATATGTCTCCTCAGAGGAGCCCAATCCTTAATCACCCTGTCTAAGAAGATCCGTAACATGCCCCTCTCTACCAAATCACAGAATGCAGTTCACCTCCTTGATAGCTCTTTTCTCAACTTATAATTAACTATTTATTTTGCTTATTTACCGTTTTATTCTTTCCTGTTACCTCCATGAGGACAGGGATTATTATTATTATTATTATTATTATTATTATTTTTTAATTTATTTGAGACAGAGAATGAGATAGAGCATGAGAGGGTCAGAGGGAGAAGCAGACTCCCCGCCGAGCAGGGAGCCCGACGTGGGACTCGATCCCGGGACTCCAGGATCATGACCTGAGCCGAAGGCAGTCGCTTAACCAACTGAGCCACCCAGGTGCCCCAGGACAGGGATTATTATTTTTACCCACCATGTATACCCACTCCCCACACAGAGTGGGTGCTTAATAAATATTTTGATGAATGAATAAATAACTGAATGCAAAAACCCAGAAATTTGAAAGTACTTCAGAAAAACTAAATCATTAATTCCTCCTGAATGAACTAAACAAATCAACTTCTGATTTTGTATGATTAACCTAAGCAAGTCTACTTAAATGAGAAGGAAACAAGCTTATACATTCCTAAAGTCATTAAAGAACCTCCTCCCACATTTGGGTTTTCTGAGACACTATGTTACCTAAGAAATTACAAATGTAAACTTTGTTCCACACCAAATAGGAAACCAGCTGATAGCCAGCCTGCTTAGCAATTATCAAACAAATGGAAAAGTGGTATAGCCTACCAACTGACAACTTTATTGCTTTATTAACATTGCTTTAAACAGAGAAACCACGTACTTCAGAATGTTGTTTGACTAAATGGAGGGAGAACCCCAGCACTCACCCTCAGAATTGACTGTATCGTCTGCATAGGATAGGTGACGGTGGTAGCAATCGCTTTGGATATTGCACCAATGATGAACACATCCAAAGAAGAAAGCTGGAAAGCAAAGAAACAGCAAACCGCATCAATCCAAAAAAGAGAGTGTCAGAGATTATTATTTGCTGCTTTCAGAATCAGGGATTACCTTCGCTCCTTTCTTTAGAAGCTGCCTTTTTAAACCTTCGTAGAACATGAACTGGATGGCAGGATTGAAGACCAACAGCAAGGAAGGAAATGTGCCATTCCATAAAGCCAAGATTCCTTCATCTCGAATGATCTGGTGAAAAGCATCTAAGCAAGAAATCAAGGACTTTTGATTACAGTCCCCTAACCGGAGAACACAATGTGAATTTTGTTCAAATGTACCCAGAACACAAATCATACTGGTTCTATTAAAATTTCCTTCTTGCAATGATAGTCTAGGGGCAAGTTCATCAGTTAACTACTTTTTGATAATCATCAGACACGGACAGTCACCATGTTATTGACAGACCAACTTAAATCACAGGCAACTCTTCCTGACAATCTGGTATTAGAACGTCAGGTTTTCCTAAGTAATCACCACCACCACGACTGAGAACTCTGTCTTACAGAGAATTGTGAACTTATAGCCCACGTGTTTCACAGCAAAGTCCAGGACAACAGACAGTACCCTGGGATCCATTATTTAGGATATGACTTAAAAGAAAATCACTATTTTCATTATAAAGACGGATACATGGGAAAGGAGAACCAGGTAACGTAGTATTATTAAACTCAAAGTCATCAGATATTAATGATAACTATATCCAAAGACAACACTAAAAGAAACAGTGTAGATTATTCTTTAGAAATATTGACCCCTCCCACCAACACTACAGCATACTTCTCTACGTCCTGACATTGGGTTTGGCCAAGGGGACATTAGCAAACAAGATGCGAACAGGGGCTTTTACAATTGGATGTGTCTTCTTGTGCTGTTGCCATCATCAAGAGAAGAATATGTGTAGGCTGATCCCAGCCTAGATGAGTCAAATCCCTGTCAATCCATAGACACATGAGCTAAACAAAGGCTTACCGTTACCTGTGGAGATTTGAGGTTATCTGAGATGAAGCATTATCGTGGCAATAAATTCCAGACACAGAGAGAAAAGAAACTCCTTAAATAGGAACTCACTCAACAAACACTTACCAATAATACCTTTGTAGTTGGTTGGTACAATGTCTTCATTCCTAAATTTTGCCCCTTGCAGCTTCAGTCTGGTGTTTACCACCCAGAGTGGAGTTGTTAGCAACACATTCACCACTCCTTTAAAAAGAAAGAAGAGACAAGGGGAAAGCAAAATGTAACCTTGCAAGCTTTGCTGTCTTACGTTAGAGCTACATACCAATGTTTCATTTATGCTTCTGCCACTGACCTCCTGGGAGACCTGAGGGAAGGTGTCTCTGTGACAGGGTACAACACAAGCCACCACTGTTAGAAGCAATTCAGAAGCCTTGCTGAGAGCAAAATGGCTGGCAGCAGTACCTTTCCACACTTACATAACAGGAAATGATCTGTTTGTCAATTTATATAGCATCCAAAGTAGCAATTTTGATTTAATTCTAAGTACATTCTTAAAATGACAGTTTTAAATAAGGTTTACTGATCACATGCTAAGTCCATGACAATATCTAATAAAACACATAATTTGCAACTCTCACGTAAGTAGCTTACATGGTTTTAAGTGAGCATGGATTTGGTACAATGGGTGACAAGTGGGAGAAAGTGGTGACATTTGAAAGAGCTTCACCAGGAACTAGAGGCTCACAGAAGAGTTCCTCATCACTTAGGGAATTAGGAGAGGCAGGCAGCAAGCAGTAGTTATGAACCATCACAAAACACCTGAAACAGCTTCGCAAGCATCATGATCCTTACAAGCTTAAGGATGGGGATGTTGGTCCCCCAATGTTGCCTCAGAGTGGAACAATACAATGAGCCAGGTGCTTCTGTTTTGAAAACACATGATCCCAAGTTAACACCATCTTGAGATATTAAAATATTCCTCATCAGTCCTGGAATGATTAAAAAAAAAATACCAGAAAGAATTGTAACAAAGTGCCTGACACATAGTATATACTCTATAAATATTTGTTAAATAAATATTGAATAAACCAATGAGCAAACTCAGTAAACAACCACACATTCCAAGCTATCTAGCTCTAGCCAGGCTCTGAAGAACCAAGAGGCACAATCCTAAGGAAGAGAAATCTTTTACTAAAAGTCACACAACAGGAGAAACAATGTTTTGATTTAAGGACTCTCAAAACACACCATTCAGAAAACACAAGTCCAACCAAAGACAAGCTCGATGAAACAGCCAAGAGATTAAAATCCTATTTTTTCATCTGTTGTATAGAGTTGCTAAAGTAAGATAATTTGTTATCTCTTTCTTAAGAGCATTATGAGAACACTTTCCTCAAAATAAGACATTATCAAAAATTTTATGAGCTGTATTCATTATATTTTTAGAGTCACATAACACACAAGGAGTCATCTTTAGTTATGACTCACTATACTCATGCATTGTCACTTAAGGCATTGATCATAATCTGAAAAAGCCTTACCTAGAGATTCTTGCTAGTCTCATTTTTAAAAAAGTGCCAGTGCTCAAGAGGTCAAGATAGAAGAATATCAACACATGCCTACTTGCCCAGACTTTGTAATGTGTTCCTATTGAATGCAATGCACACATCACTTGACGGAAAAACCAACAGCAAGAAAAATGAGACTAGAAAGTACTACTGAGCAGTCTATTGCATTTTTTTTTTTTTTCCAGATGAAGACAGGAGAGCTCAGAAACAGAGATCACAGGCTTCTGTAGATAATGTAGATAGGCAAAGTGTAAAAACCTTTTTAAACAAATGAAATGTGTTGTCTATTAAACAAACTCTTCAGAAATCAAAATTCCTTTCATGCTCTATTCAAGAGGTAATTACCCACAAAACACATCGGAGGCAATCTAGCCTAGATTTAAGATTTAACCATCATTTAAAATTCTGCTTTTGGGGCGCCTGAGTGGCTCAGTTTTTAAGCGTCTGCCTTCGGCTCAGGTCATGATCCCAGGGTCCTGGGATCCAGCCTGACATCGGGCTCCCTGCTCGGCGGGAAGCCCGCTTCTCCCTCTCCCACTCCCCCTGCTTGTGTTCCTGCTCTCCCTATCTCTCTCTCTCTAATAAATAAATAAAATCTAAAAAAAAAAAAAAAAAAAAAAGAGAGAGAGTCCTTTAAAAAAATTTAAAAAAAAATAAAATTCTGCTTTCATATATATCTTTGTTTTGAGCTGAAAGACTGAGAGGATTCTTAGGACAATCTCCAGTATAAAAATGCACTATATCATTTAAAGAAGAGAATATAAAGTCCTTGTGAAAACATTTGTATTTTGAAGCTTTTTATCTGACAAGTTCAAGTACTTTGTTCATCCTCTAAGCCAAAATAGATGGAGAGGTATTTTTTAATCACTATAATTTTATGAGTTCTGGGAAAAGACACTCAAAATATTTGAGGATCCAAAACTTTACTGAAGTAAAGGACAGCATTCCACGGAAGAAAAACAAGCTACAAACAGTCATGATGAGAGATTCCAACTTCACTAATGCCTGATGGATATGGCTGAAGGATAAAGTTGTCTGCTTATTTATAAGCCCATGTAGAAAGTTTGTTCAGTTCTAAGCTGTGGTTGTTACTTCACTTCTAAGATGGGAATACTAATATTTTACCTACTTAATGACAAGAAATTGTTTTTCTTTCAATGCAAATGATTCCACTTTCATTTTTCTTTGTAAAAAATCATTTACAAGAAAACAAAAGCAAAATTAAGAGATGAACAATAACTGAACACACACACTGAAATTATTCACTGATTCAAGGAATAATTGGAACACAGCTGTTTACTTCTGAAATCTTGAAAACAAAATAGTTTTATTAGCAGTGAGTCTGTTAAGGAGAGAAAACAAAAAAGAAGTATGCTAATTGTGTATGCACTTCTGGGAAATAAGTGCAATGACCACTGATACAAGAAAAGGGCAGATCAAGGTCATAAATCTAACCACTTGGCTCCCTATGAAGGAATGCAACTTGATACACAACAGGAACAAACCTGCCTTACCAGATTTAAGACTGGAGGGCAGGAAAGGAATATGAACTGTCAACAATAACACCACTGGCATTCAAAAACAGTTATGGGTAAAAATCCCAATTTCATAAAATGGCAAGTATCTTCTTCATTTAAATTTTCTGTGAGGTTCTGTTCCCAAATCCCTTCCCAAGGTATCAAGCTATATGAGCTTTTTTCCTATGAAAATACAGTAAGTAATAAGTTTCTAAGTTTCAAGCAGAATTTGAATAACAATTATACTGTTCCTAGTTCTCCTTGGAGACAATGAAACTCATTTCTACAGTGATTTTAATACATGACAAGGCTCACAGCAGGAAAAGAAAAAGTGGTTCTAATTCTAAGAATGCATAGGTATTAAGATATGAAAACATGTTATGAGGAGAAATTTAAAACTCACAAAAGTAATTCCCAAAGAATTCCTTACTTTCAGAAAAAGAGACCCTATAATCAGAGAATCTCAGAATTATAAAGGACTATAAAATACATTTGACCAAGGGTCTCTCAACTGTTATACAATCCACATTTTGATTGTAAGCTGGATAATCCTTTGGGGCAGCAGGTGGGGTCGTTACTGTGTATCAGACAGACAACAGTAGCTGTAGAAGGATGGAGTCATTAAATGGCTTGGTACATTCAAGGAATCACAGTTTTCCAGGAGAGGATGGGAACAGTAGAGATCAAGCTAGAGGTAAGCAGTATCACAGCAGATCTTGTATGTTGGGCTCTTATCCTGTATACGGTGGGGGCCTTTTATGCTGTAGGTACCATGACTTTATCCTACATGCAAGTGGCAGACATCAAGGGGTTTGAAGCTGGAAATAACATTATTAGATTTGGGTTTCAGAACAGCAGTTCCCCACCATCTCTCTGATAAGACATATAACAGATGAGGCTCATAACTGACACAGACCCATTGCACCTTTCTTTCACATACTCCAGAAAACACTTCAGAGTGTAAGTGAATGAGAATGATATGTCTTTTCTCAAACCTGCTTATGTCAGTTTTGAATCTGTTATGGTAGGCAAAACTTTATAGGTATGGGGTATGTACAAGAAAAGGCATAAAACTCCTATCAGTAAACCAATAAGCCTTCACCATGTATTGAAGAAAATGAAAAAGTATATATTTATACATCTTAAGTTAAAATAAAATACAAGGTAAGTAGGCTATTTATGATACTCCCTATGTCAACTGACTTTTAAAAACTAACTGCCCTACCATACCAGTCTAGCTGTGTTATGTATAGGGGAATCTACTGTGATTATAGATGTGTAAGAGTTAGAAAGGAAAAAAGCAGAGCACAATGAGAGAAAGAATAACAAGGGTGTTGTGTACCTGGTGGAGAATGGGATGTCAGATGTCAGCAAATAAACAGCTTTGAACAATTAAAAAAGATTTCGTACTGAGGGTTGCTAGAGGGGAGGTGGGTGGAGGGATGGGGTGGCTGGGGGATGGACATTGGGGAGGGTATGTGTTATGGTGAGCGCTGTGCGTTGTGTAAGACTGATGAATCACAGACCTGTACCCCTGAAACAAATAATACATTATATGTTAATAAAAATAAATAAATAAATAAAATTTAAAAAGATTTTGTCATATATTTCATGAATTAGTAGTTTCATGGAAAGTTATTGAGTTAGTCCTTGACAGTGAGTGATAAACTTTTAAATGTCAATACATAAAACTATAGTAATCTAAAATATATTAAAATTAAAATTTTACAAATACTTGGTCTCAGGTATTAAACATAATACTAGATAGCCATTTGTTGCAATTATGTAAAAAAGAAGGTTCCTTCTGTACAGGATATCCTTGAATCTATTCTGATTTTTTTCCCAAGTGAACAAATCTCAAACTTGAATTCTTTGAGTTATGACACTGTTAGAAAACTATTCTTCCAGAAAGGTTAGCTAGGCAGGATTATGCAAAGTAGGTAAGTAAGGAAGACTTCAGGGGCGCCTGGGTGGCTCAGTCGTTAAGCAGCTGCCTTCGGCTCAGGTCATGATCTCAGGGGCCTGGGATAGAGCCCCGCATCGGGCTCCCTACTCAGCGGGGAGCCTGCTTCTCCCTCTCCCACTCCCCCTGCTTGTGTTGCCTCTCTCGCTGTGTCTCTCTCTGTCAACATAAATAAATAAAATCTTAAAAAAAAAA